CATGGCCTGCCCTTCCTGCAGCCTCATGGAGATTGATACTCATGAAGATTGATTGCCAAGGGTGGAGCCTTTCCTTTCCTTTGGACTGAACCAGATAATTTTGTCAGCAGATCAGAAAGTGAACTTTTAGATCCCAATTCTAATGACATTCAGGCTGCAACTGACACCTTGATAATCAACCTGTTCACTGCCTAGCTTAGCCAGCCCTTTTTTTAAATCAACTGCTATCCATCTGTAGTTGTACCTGGAGTGCTGTCATCCAGAAGACCCTATGATCTCTTCTCAAACATTAGTATATGGCATTCATTCTCAGTGCAGGCTGACAGATGGTGCTGAGACTTTAGGGTGGAAAAAAATTCCAGCTTATCTTCCTTCTCCTCCTCCTTTTTTTTTTTTTTTTGGCACCAGAGATCGAACTCGGGTCCTTGGCACTTGCAAGGCAAATGACAGAACCACTGAGCTAAATCCCCGGCCCTCCTCCTCCTTTTGATACAGGGTCTTTGCTGTGTAGCTCAGGCTAGCTTTGAACTCACTATGTATCCTAGACTGCCTTGAATTGATCCTCCTGCCTCAGCCTCCCCAGTGCTGAGATTATAACCGTGTACCACCACACCTGACCACTTTCCTCTATTTCGTGAACATTTGTTCCTTCTATGTTTTGTGCACTCATGAAATCCCTATGGTCCTGCTCACCTTTGGCATTCTCTGCTATACACCTTGTCCTATAGAGAAGTAGGAAAAGAGAATATTGAGACTGCAAAAAAAGATTCTTAGTTTATAAAGCTATAATGTTTTCTTATGTGTGTATTACTTTTTGCTTTACTAAGCAGTTTTGTCTTCAAATTAAGAATTTTTGAAATACAGTAGCCATTTAGAAGGGTTTTCCTGTCTCTCAACTTTGAAGTATGTCACCTCCTTTTATCCTTCACATCCTCCAATTGGGCTATTTCTCCCAATCTACTGAGTTTATTAATTTAATCAAAGTAAGTACCTTCCTTTTCCCAGTTATATTCTTACTTAAATTTCTGTGTCCATAAGAATGTGATTATGAGCTTTAAGTGACAGTGCATTTGTGTGGTTATCTTGGTTTCTGATCCCAGAGAGGGAAGAGTAGTAACTACTTGGCTCGAATGTGGATATATAGATACATTTTCAGATTTTTTTGTTTTGTTTTTCATATTAACAGTTTCACCCTATAATGCTATACCTGCCAATTTCTGGAGGAAAAACTTTTATGTATCATTGATTAATTAGAAAGTTAAAAGAAAACAAACATTTAGCCCAGGCTGGCAGATGCCCCACCCTTCTCTGCTCTGGGGCTTCTTCCCAGAGCACCCACCCTCCCCTTGGGCTCCTCCTCCATCTCCTTTCCAGGAGCTCCTTGTCTGTGACCCAGCAGCAAATGCTGTGGGTGCCAGGTAGAATTCTGAGCACTATGCTAGCCTCATCTTATTCCAGGACTTTTGTAATAAAATGGTTACTTTGTTTGGACTTCTGTTACATGCGGTTGTTAATTAGCGCCTAGGTCTAAAATATTAGTCTTGCTATTTGGATGTTTTTGCTATTTGATTTATGAATATTACTAGTTAAATCAGTTTTTAGTTCCCCACTAAATGTGCTACATTATAGATATCTTTAAAAATTAAAACCTGTAAGTTTTTCTTTTTTTGTTTTTCTTTTATTGGTACATTTTAGGTATACATAATGATAACATTCATCATAGGGAATTTGTACCTGTATATGATATGTCATCTTCTTTTTTCTCATTCCCCTCCCCTCCCTTCAACCTGTTTCCATTTTTCCTTCTATTCTCTTTTCTTCCTGTCCCTTCTTTCCTTTCTCCCTACCCCCTTCCTTGTTCCCTTTCACATTTGAACATTTTAACCTTTATGTTTTTAAATTGAGGGAAAGTAACTCTTCCTAGGTAGAGAAGGCAAGAAGAGTTAAGATAACTTAATGTGCCTACTTTCACAGGCATAGAAGAGCAGTGAGGAAAAACTGGTCTCTGTGGAAGGGGAGGAGCACTCGACCCTTAATGAGTTTACCTTGAGATAATAAAACCAAGATTCAGTAAGCTATTGAGTCTCCTATCAGTTTCAGAGGTGGCGAACCTATGGCACGCCGGCTGTTTGTGTTGTCATTGAAAGCTCTTAAAAGATCATTTTGCTGCTGGACAGTTCTAATATGTTCCCACCAGAACTACCGGAGGTACATGCATGACTTTCCCATTGAGCAGGATAGGACAGTCCTGTCTGGGCATGCTGTCATGGAGTACCACCGGTGGTACAAGGCAGCGGAAACATGTTAAAGAATGAGTTGCTTTGCTATGTGCCACTACCATGTAATTGCTTGTCCTAGTGTGCTGAAAGTTGAAATGTGACAACTGACCCAGCTTGAGCCTGTGCCAGATGTCTCACTGAGGATGCCCTCAGCCTGACCAGGCCAAGTTAAGCAGGTGCTGTGGGCTGGACTCACCTGAAGGAGGTGTTAGACTTGGACTCCTGGCTCAGCAGTTTCCACCCAGTGATATGCCATGGTATTCGGTAGCATTTTTAATTGGAAAAAAAAAAAACCAAAAACATGCTTTAGTGTTTAAACAAACTTTGTGTTAAAGATACAGATGTTTCATCTTAATATTTTGGAGGTTTTTTGGTTTTTGTTTTTTGAGACAGGGTCTCACTATGTAGTTCAGGCTGGCCTTGAACTCTGTGATCCCCTGCCTCTTCTGAGTGATGGGATTGTACCACCACACCTAGCTCATCTTAATTTTTTTTTGATTTTTTTTTTCCTGAAGTAATTTTTTTTGGGGGGGTACCAGGGATCAAACTCAGGACTTTGCACTTTCAAGGCAGGCAGCGGCACCACTAACCCAAATCCCTGGCTCCTGAAGTAATTTTTAAGACCTGGTGCTTTACCTTTCTAGTATTTGATAGTTCTTTCCTGATAATCTAAGGTTGCTTGTGGCAGATTTTTTTTAAAGCTTGTGGCCCTGCCTTTTCTTTCTACCTTAATTTTTTTGTTTATTTTTTTCTGGCACTACCAGGGACTAGCCCCAAGGCCTTGCCATGTAGGCAAGCAGTCAAGGGCTGAGCTACATCCCCAGCCTTCTATATTGATTGATTGAGACACCCTAGGTAGCCCAGGGTGGCTTTGAACTCACAGCAGTCTTCCTGCCTCAGTCTCTTTGAGTACTGAGATTATACACATGCACCACACCACTATGCACTGCCTTTTACCTTACATTTTAAGAGTCAAAGATTGGTATATTTATTCAAAATTATTTGAGTCCCTGACCATGTGTTTTTTGTTAAGCACCAGGAATTAAAGCAGCAAACAAAACAGTCTGTCCTTCTGGCACTAACCTCCTAGATGAGAAAGCAAACATTAAACAGATAAGATATAAATACTAAGAAGAAAGCAGAAGGGGAGCAAGCTAGAGAAGTGGTGGGTGAGGTGCTGTTTTAAGTGGAGTGGTCAGGGAAAACCTCAGAATGACAGAGACTGAAGAACCACATGGCACAACAAGCTGCATAGACATCTGTGTCTTTAAAAATTTCTCTTTGCCCCACATTCTAAAACTTTTAAGATTGAGTATATTTATTTTACCAGCAATTCAAAAATATATTATGTGCAAGGTATAATTCCAAGAGCACACTCTTCTAAGTGTAATTTTTTTTTTCCTTTGAGACAAGGTCTTATTGTGTTGCCCAGACTAAGAACCTGGAACTGTCGGTATGCACCACCACACCAGGCTGTGTAGTTTCTTATTCTCCCAGTAAACCTGAGACATTCAGCTTCAGAATTTGCTCTTTATGGTCCTACATACTGTACATAAAATTATCATAAAACAATAGCCTCCTCAATCAATATTTAGGTTGATGATTGAGAGGTCTCCTCAAACTGCAAATGACCTATTGTATATTTTCTATCTGAAAACATGGAAAGAGCTGTCCCTAGGGCTCCTGTCACTTAGCCATGACTCAGTGTGGGAGGTGCCCAGCACCTGGCAGGGAACCACAAAGAGCAGGAGGGTGAGACACCAGTTTCACCTACACACAGGCTGGGCTGAGGTGAGAGCCGTGAAACAAAAAGGGTGGCTTAGCCCTGCAAAACCCCAAGCAGTAAGCACCTGCTGTTCCATGTCCCTTCTTTCACCCAGACCATCTGCCTGGCCATCTCCCTCCTTACAGAAGGGGTCATGCCCAGAAAGGGGAGATGGCCTTGTCATGCCCAATTGAAGAGGCTGCAGCTGGGTGAGGGAAGTCACCAGCAGAAGAATCTGTCTGGATACAGCCATTTGAAGCCAGAGCCTCTGTAAGACACCTGGTATTGCAGTTGTGAATCTGTCAAGCCTGGTGACAGTCCCATTTGCCCATGTTTATGTGTTATCAGAAAGCAAAATTCCTAGCCAGTCATGGTGGCACACTCCATAATCCCAGCACTTGGGAGACTGACCCAGGAGGATCACTGCAAGTTCAAGGCCAGCCTGGACCAGGTAGTAAGACCCTGTTTTTAAAAACCAAAAAAGGGAAAGATTGATTCCTGAAATCGCTGTTAACTAATCACCCAAACCAGTAAAGGAAAATTAAAAAGGCTTCCCTGAGCTAGTTGCCTTCCAAAAAGTATAAAAACGTTGATTTGGAGATCATTTTTATCTTGTGAAACCAGTTACTCCAATTTCCCACTTGAGGACAAGGACTGTCTTAGTGGTCTTCAAAGTCTCAAGAACCCTGTTTTACTTTCAGAATACTCTAAGGCAAATTCAGTGTGCTTTCTGTAGCTCCCTGGGTGTCTGATTGGCAGCTTTCCCTTTTCACTTGTGCTATCTTGACCCATAAGCTACTACTTCAGCTGTGTTTGGAAATAGCCTAGATGCAAAATGCAAATGGTGTAGACATTTTCATTTTATAGCCTTTTTTTAAAAAGCGTATAGCAAATGTATTCTAAACACATCCGTTTCTTTCTCCCCTCTCTCCTTCTAAAAAACAACCGTTGCCCAGGCATCCGGTACAGCACCGATGTGAGTGTGGATGAAGTGAAGGCGCTGGCCTCACTGATGACGTACAAGTGTGCAGTGGTTGGTAAGTACTCACCTGCCTAACAACTGCAGGGAAATGCGTGTGCACACAAGCACATTTTTAAGATGAGACTTAGGCTTTTTTTAAGTGGGGGAGGTTTTATAGGCACCAGCTGGATTTTCTTTAAATGTAGTTCTGTGTTTTAAATTCCTGTCCATGCTCTGTAAATAAGAGCAGAAGGAAAGAAAATACCATCCATATTCTTTGACAAGTAGTAAAAAGCACTGATTAAATATGCATTGCAACTTGGCAAGTCTTACAATGTTAAAGTACATTTCTTGAATTTTCGGAAATTAAACCTTAACATTCTTTTGTAATACAGGTTAAACATCCCTAGTCCAAAAAATCTGAAATGCCCAAAAATCTGGAACTTCCTGAACACTGACAAGACACCACAAGTAGAAAACTGCACACCTAAGCCAGGTGTGGTGACACACATCTGTAACCTAGCACACAGGAGACTGTCTCAAAAACAAAAAAAGAGAAACTCCACTTGGCTTTATTCTCCAGGCTGGAGTGAAAACAAGCACACAAAAAATATTGTACAAAATGACATTCAGGCTATAGGTATATGGAACATAAATGAATTTTATGTTTAGATTTGGATCCCTTTGCCCAAGATACCTTATTATGTGTATGCAGATATTCCAAAATTCAAAAATAACCTGAAATCCAAAACTCTTACAAACATTTTGATAAGGAACACTCAACCTGTATTATATAGTGCCATCTTTTTATTTTTTAACCTTTCTATGGAATAACAACTTTGAGTCTTTTCTTTCAGATGTGCCATTTGGTGGAGCTAAAGCAGGTGTTAAGATCAACCCCAAAAACTATTCAGTGAGTATCAAAGTGTATGTGTATATACAAAGGACTTAGAATTAATTTCTAGGCCCTCTGTATCCCCCATATCAGTAAGGTTGATGGTCTTCTTGACTTTTCAAAAGGAATGGGAAGGGGCCGGGGATTTAGCTCAGTGGTTCTGCCACTTGTCTTGCAAGCGAAAGGTCCCGAGTTTGATCCCCAGTACCCAAAAAAAAAGGAATGGAAAAACAAATACATTATTAACTTATTGAATATATTGCCATATAAAAGGCTTAACATTAGTCTCTTTACATTTTCTTTTGGTTTAAAGGTAGTTAATACCTTCTTGTTTGTTTAGTTGTTTGGTTGTTGGTTTTGGTGTTTTGAAACAGTCTCACTATGTAGTCCAAGTTGGCCATGAACTCACAGCAATCCTCCTACCTTAACTTCCCAAATACCGAGATTACTGGTGTGTGCTACCATGCCTAGCTAATTCTTTCACATTTCTAGGCACTTAGATCCATGTTCAATATAATCTGAAAATTTAATATAGAGCTCTTGTTCTGGTGACAAATAATCTAATAAATATTGTATTATTTATCCTGTCAGTTCCAAGTTAATGAAAATTACTTACACTATTCTACATACAACTAAATTACAATCTGTATAATACTTTAGTAAATACATATGATTTCATTATCCTTAAAATTTGCCACTTAAATGAAAATACAGATAATGCTCATAGGGTCCATAGTAATCTAATCGCATCAGGTTTTGCTTTTTTCTTTTTTTTTTTTTAAATTGAACCCAGCACCTTGTACATGCTTAGCCTGTGCTCTACAGCTGACCAGTACCCTAATTTTTGTTCCCTGGTTTTTTCCTGTACAGGACAGTGAATTGGAAAAGATCACAAGAAGATTCACCATGGAGCTAGCAAAGAAGGGTTTTATTGGTATGTATTGCCATACATGGTTTCTGTAGACAGTGGAAGTATCTAAAGAGTAATTGTCTTGAGCTCCTGCTTTTACACATGTCTGAGCAGAGTTGCCCTTTTTGTGAGAAACCAGGTTCTCCTAGATCTTGTGGACACCCCTGGGTGTGTGTAACCCATCTCTTCTGGGAAAGTTCAGGTTTTCCTCATGCAGCGTGGGCACCAGGGAGTGGTGTGGACAGCATAAAGATTGGATTAATGCAGTCACATTATACCTTCCCTGCTGAGACCTTCAAAAACACATGGCCATATTTTGTGGCTCTGAGTAATACCTGAATGTAAATCATTTTTTAATAAGTGTAAAGCAGTGTTGAAAGCAGCTGTTCTGTCTCTAAAGCAGTGAGGAATCTGGTCCTTTTTGGAGCTGGAGATGTTGAACAGACTCAGCTGTCCCTTTACAGAAGTGGGAACAGCACAGGTCCGTGGTGTCGGCTGCTCCACCTGAGTCTGAGGACTCCCAAGGCACTGCCTGTTGGGTACAGGGGCTTTTCCTAATAAGAACACTAAACTTTTAAAGAAACTTATCTTTGTTTGCTTGATTTTTTTTTTTAATCTGTATGTGTTTATTGTTTTGTGTAAGACATGAAATACTTTTTATGATGTATAAATATTTGTCATTTATTCTTTAATTTTCAAACAGTTTAAGTCTTGGTCTTTTAATTAATTTGAATAAAATAAAAGTACTTGCTATAATGCTTTTCTTGTGATCATAGTTAAACAAAATAAGACTAAAAGTGAAAAAGAAAATTCACTTTCTCTGCTTTCCTGCCCTTGGTTTTTGTTGTTGTTTGGGGTTGTTTTGTTGTGGTGGTGTTGGGGGGGTGGTTTTGTTTTATTTTGTTTTGTTGGTTTTGAGGAGTTTTAGTTTTTTGTTTTGGAGACAGGGTCTCACTGTTATAGCTGTGTTCTGAAATTTGTCCCATTTTTAGGACAAAAGGCATTAAATAAGTAAACTAACATTGAAATAAGATGAATATAGATAACACTAGGATTTTATAAGATTTGGCCGTAGTGTCCTAATTTAAAAGGCATTTGGCTTCTTGGCATGCCTCGTACCAGCACATGTATGAACTTGTATATCATAACACATGAAAAGCATGCTAAGGAACTTAACAGGAGTTAACCATCTTTACACCTACAGATTCGAGTCCTAATTCTAAGGTACAGTGAGTTAAAATCTCATTCAGCCTGATGAAAACCTTCAGCTTTTGTATCCTCTTAGCCTAAATCTCAAGTGCATTTTAATAATCTTGTGTGGTTTTGGATATTCAGTCATTAGTTGCCCATAACTAGAGTGTTTCCCACTTAATTTTATGGATCTTGACAAGTGTCTCAGGTCCAAAAGTTTAAAAAAAAAAAAAAAAAGATCTCTTTGGAGGCTAGGTGTGGTGGCACACACCTGTAATTCCAGCCCAGATTTCCTGACTTGCCTTTCTGCAGAGTTTCAGATCACAACTGAGGCTTGAGTCTGAATCCTAACCATTACATTTTGTGAGCTTAGGATCACCTTGTCAAACAGCCAAAAAAGTCAGCTGAGATTTTGATAGGAATGTGTTGAATCCGTAGACAAATTAATGGCATGTTGCTGACTTAACCATCTTGTCTTCCAGTCCATGAACATGGTATATGATGTGTCTGTTTACTTGAGTCTCTAATTTCTCTCACTGACACTTTGTAGTTCTCAGTATAAATATTTTACTCCTATTGTAAGGAGTGTTGATCTGTAGCTTTCTTGTGATGTCTTAGTCCAGTCCTGATGTCGGGGTGATAACCAGCCTCATAGGAGTTGAAAGTGCTGTTTCCTCTTCTGGATCTTGGGAGACTTGTGAACCTCCTATGGAGTAGAGATAGCATAGATCTGAGTAAACTGTAAAGTCCCTTGCAGAGCCCTGATATCTCTGTCCTTCTCAGAGCCTGTATCACCACATACCAAGGTTACCTGCTCTGCTTTCACCTTGTGTTCATGCTCAGAGCCATCACTTTTTCAGAAAGGATAGGCTTGTGCCTCACACCTGTTCTCTGTTATATTAGAGAATTTGTCAGGAGTTCAAGAATGACTTGTAATCTGTGCATCCCTGAACATTGATTTTTGCATGCAGCAGAACCTAGTAATACTCTGTGCCTTTGGGTTGGGGAAGCTGTCCTGCCTTCAGCAGTCTAGACAAATGTTGGTAAGAAACAGTTTATTTACAAACTGTGTGCCTCAAAACTGCCACTTACCAATTGTAATTATTACTTGAAGCAATAAGCCTATTTATTACTTAGCACTGAGCCTTGATGAAAACAAGGATGCTTGAAGTTAGCAGTTTGTCTGTGTACTTTAGAAAAAGGAGCATGGTTAAACAAGATTATACTGACCTGTTGCTAAGGTGTGGAAAGGGAGCCAAACAGAGCCCCAGAGCCCTTCCGCCAATGGATGGCATGGCTTCCATATTCAAGCAGGCCTGCTGGGTGGCTTGAGGAGAGGATTTGGGGTAGCCAGGTGTCTAAGGTATAGGAACCAAGACATAGTAGTGACTGACGTCAAAAGCACACCTTGACCATATCAAAGTTGTCTTGGCCCTGTACTGTATTCGTTATATCATAGCTTGTTCAGAAAATTACACCAGCCAGAACCTTGGCCAGTGGATTGTAGACAACAGGAAAATGTATTTATTCTGATGCTTAGAAAGTAAAGATTATAGAAAAACTTGGATGCAACCCTTAGAAAGAGCTTTATTGCCAGGCATGGTGCCACATGCCTCTAATCCCAGCACTCCAGAAGGCTAAGGCAGGAAGATTGCTGTGAGTTCAAGGCCAACCTTGGCTACATAGTGAGTTCAAGACCAGCCTGAACTACATAACAAGACCTGTCTCAAAAGAAAAAAAAGAGGGAAGAAAAACATGATTAGAAAGAGTTTGGGTAACTAGGAATATATAGGGCTGGAGGAAACCTACCTTTCTCCCCACATTGGGATTTAGTGATAATCCTGAGTCATTCACATGGATATCAGTCATCCTTCTTAATGGTTGTTTAGTGCTTCTTTGTGTAGGTATGTTGTATTTTTATCCACTGGCCTACTGCGCAGACACGTTGTTATTATCTTAGCTGTCTTGGGAGGAATCTCTGGATTCCTGCCTTCGCAGACTTGTGGGCGTCCCTGAGTATGGGTTCTCAGAGTCCACCCTGTGACCCTCAGTGGCATCTTCTGCTGCCTGTGAGCCATTGTCTTCTTATTCTCAAGCATTTGATTTGCTGTAATCTGAAGAATTAAAAGCCAAGACCCAAAACCTTATGTACACTAAGCACTGAGTAAAAGGTCAAAGCATTCTCCCGTAGAAAGGATTCCACCCTTCCATGCAGTGGCTTCACTATAACTTTGTCCCCTCTTCTTGGTGATAAGAGTATGTCGCCGTGCTGCCCCTACACATGTGCTCCTAACCACAGTCCTGTTTGTTCAAGCAAGATGGTCATTTGATCTCATTGCTGTTGAGGGAACTGAGGCCAGGCAACCAGACCCATGTGCCAGTGGGGCTCATGCCTGCCTGTTAGACATAGCTAACTTGCCACATCAGGAGCATCAGGGGGAGTGGTTGCTGCATAACACTGTATCTCAGTGTGTGGTGAGATACTCACCTTGTGAGTATTGCTGTGACTTGCATGAGTTACCTAAATGAGATCTAAAGGCTTCTAGCCATGATGACTTTGTTCTCTTAAAGAATTACAGGGATCTTTGTGTATGGGGTGAGTTTCTCTTAAAAACTCATACATTGCCCTTTCCCTGTGCTGTCAGGTCCTGGCATTGACGTGCCTGCCCCAGACATGAGCACAGGCGAGCGGGAGATGTCCTGGATCGCAGACACCTATGCCAGCACCATAGGGCACTATGTGAGTATCCTCAGAGCCACAGGCTTCCTACCTTGTGTGTGAGAAGCTGAGAATGACTTGATTTTTCTCCTTCTTTTTAATCAAACATGATTCACACTCATTTTTCTTTCTCTATTTTTTAACTGTGAATGTAGTGAACAGAGATTGAGCTTTTATTTACCTGCCGCTGTAGACTATGCACTGGGGTGGGACCTTCCCCAACTACTGCTGAGATGCCAGAATGTAAATATAGAAGTGTTCTGCTCTGATGTTTCCCTCAAAGAGCTGTTGTTTACACAGGAGCTAAGATGGTGAGCAGATAGAGTATGGGAATAGTATGATACAGGCTGGAGTTGAAAATGGCTTGGATTGGGCACCTAGAGATTGGGGGCATAAGAGGAGAAAAAATAGGGCTCAGACTGCAGGTTCAGCACATTTGTGTAGCTAAAAGTGGAAAGGTAGGTAAACCACAACCAGAAATGGCCAGCCCTGGTGTTGGTTTTACCCTGTGTAGTGGCATGCCCCAGCCACACATGAGGGGCACAGCAGACTCTGGGAGACTGGATCAGGTGTGTTGGGACCAAGAAGAGGGCAAGGCTGAGTCAAGAAAGCCAGGAGGACCCCAATCAGGGTACTGAGCAGAACACAAGAGAGAGAAAGCACATCTTCCTGTCCCTGAGAGCACGGAGCCTTGAGCAACAGGCATTCACGGAGTAGGAGGAGAAATGGATATGGAAGAGCTGTCCATGGCCTCTGCATGCAAGACCAAGTGTACAAGTCAGGTGTGCACTACAGCTGGTGTGAGTGCTGAAGTTGGTGCAAAACTACAAAAAGGTAATGGAGCCTGACCAGACCTTTAGAGGAAAAGGTCAGCCAAGGCCTCCTTGGGGATGGAAGCTTTTACCCTGCAGTCTGAACGTAGGAGGAGCGCGGAGCACACAGCAACTAGGGAGGGTGGGCCTGGCCAGGCAGTATGTGGGACTGAATGAAACACCAAGGTTAAGGGAGGCTGGAAGCAGCCAGTCGAACAAGCGGAAGAAGTGGGAAAGTCCAGCAGAGGAAGTCACTAGGCTGCTGTCCGGCCAGAATCGGGGAGACTTTGACCTTTGTCCTGAAATGAAAGGCATGAAGAGCTCACTGGGAGGTGTGTGACACAGTTGAGTGTGCATTAGAGCCCTGTTCTGTGCACAGAGGGAAATGGGGTAGTTGGGACAGGAGAATAAGAGAGGAACTCTGGGGCAGGGGTTCAGGTGAAGAGAAAGAAGGGGATGAAGTGTGTCTACCACCTTAGAAAAATGGCTGCTGCCCAAAGGAAAGTGATGTGAGAGAAAAACCAGGCAAGGGGGTTGCATGGTGGTAGAAGTAGTGAGGTCCCTGGCAGCGGGGGAGTCAGGTCCCAGTGGGAAGTGGGGCTTGGAAGGGAGGAATGTAAAGGTCAGGTGTCTTCTGGGCCATGTCACTTTGTCCTTGGGAGCTTGGGCAGAGCACCCAGTAGCTCCATGGCCTGAGAGTGTCTGGGCCTCAGTTTCCCCACATACGAAGTGGCTGTAATGGTACCTAATACATGGGATTTTGTCTTCATAAGACTTCTAGGAAAATCCCATGAAGAGCAGTCAAATGTACTTAGTCTGTAGTCCTTAGCACAGAAACGTAAGCGTTTATAACATACATTGTGTATATTGCAAAAATCCATTGAAATAAACTGTATTAGACACTTGAAATGCTTTTGGAAGCATTTTGGTTTGACAAAGGGGCCCTTCTGTAGACCATCTTTTGTGGCTGTGTGTGTGATGCTGGAAATTGAACCCAGGGCGTTGAGCATGCTGGCTAGGCAGGCACATGTTCAGTGAGCACCGGTCCCTTGTTCTTTTTGAGCAAGCAGCACACTCACCAGTACACACCAGTAGGCAGTATGTTGTCGTCTGTAGCGCACTCACAATGGTGCCACAAGGGGTGGTCATGTGAGGCACTGCCAGCTAACCCTTGGACTGAACTGGTGGAAGATCCTTCCTTCTTGAGTGCTGGGACACCCAGGGTCCAGGCCTAGGTGAAGAGGTCTTAGTTTTTGTCATGCATTTCAAGATGTGCCCAAGGCCCTCTGGGCAGCACCTTGGAGGTCACTTTCTCCTCACCACTCCTGGAGTCCCAGGCATTAGGTATGCTGGGGAGCCTGGCAGCTGGCACCAGGCCTGGCCTCAGACAGTGTTTCCTTCAGCTCTGGCATTCGCATTTTCATTCTGTAGAAGCACTTGGCACCAGGTTTGCAATTTGTGAAAGAAAACTGTGGGAAAAATACTAATTCTGTAGCACTTTTACTTGACTGCTTTTTTAAAAAAACTTGTCATTCTTTTTGTTGGTAATTATACAAGTAATACAAGTTTGAATTCTCTCTGAAAATATTTAAACAATACAGTAAAAATTGGTTCACCTTTAAATTCTCCTGCTGTACCTGTCATGGGGCAGGAATTAGTGCACAGTCAGGCGTGGCATCTTGTTCCTGGGTATTGAATGGCCTCTACAAGTCCATGCCTTTGGCCTTGATTGAAAGTGCTGCCTTCATTTCCCCTGACTTCCTGTGTCCAATCAGACTCCCTCTCCTTTCTCCTGTTCAACCTGCTGACAGGAGCATCTCCTGTACCTGTGATGCCAGATCCTTTTCCCTAGCTGTGCTTGTTTCTGCACAGAAACCTGTGCACACCCTCCATGCAGGGAGGCTGGAGGTGAGTGGTGAAGGCCATTGGCCGAGCCAGCGTTGCTCTGTTCAAAGAGGTGCAGGCCTCTCGGTCTTGCCCACGCAGGCATTTTTTAAACAGCTTTGTCTGTCTCTTAGATGAGCTTGAGTATCATCTTTTACAGCTTCTTTTAAAAAGTGGCATTTATTGAATTTCAAAATTAGTCTGACAGAAAAATACAGCATTGAGTCTTCTTGTCCAAAAATATCCTAATGATTCTTCTTTCAGAGCCTGAGTTGTGTGCACAAGTCTAATGGTAGATTTTTAAACAAGGGCTTCTGTTGAAATAAGCTGAACTGTCTCTGCTTTTATGATACTGTTATTTGTGCTAGACTCTAAATTTCAGCTCTCCCATCAAAGAATATACCGTGTGATTATTTTCTAGGAGCAAGAAAGTTAAAAGAATGAGGCTTGTTGCTTCCTCTTGGTGAAAGGGTACCTTAAATTCTCTATTTTTCTCACAGCCTTGCGCACAGTCCTGATCAGGCTAATTTTTGTTAAATGAGAATGTGCTTTGACTTTAATTCATGATGCTGGTTCTCATGACTAGAACTGGGACTGATGAGTTTCCTTCTCTAACCCTGACTCCCCTAACAGGACATTAATGCACATGCCTGTGTTACCGGGAAGCCCATCAGTCAAGGGGGAATCCATGGGCGGATCTCTGCAACTGGCCGAGGGGTTTTCCATGGGATTGAGAACTTCATCAATGAAGCTTCTTACATGAGCATTTTAGGAATGACACCCGGCTTTGGAGATAAAACATTTGTTGTTCAGGTAAAATAAATAAATAAAAATGTTTTCTTAATAAATAACAGACAACATACATTAAGTTATTTAATGTTTTTGACTTGCATCTTTAAAATGAGACTCTTGGACTCTCTTAGGTTTTATTTTTTTGAACCTTGGCATGGCTCCTGGCTAGAACTGATTTTACATCTCTGTTGCACATGAGACTCATAAACTACTTTGAGTTGGAATTTACACCTCAGGAAAGGGGAGAGACCATGTAGTGTAATTTTTTAAGCTATCATGAGTATGCAGAAATATTTGCATGTTGACCCAAGCTTGTTTCATATATTAACATGTAATTCCCTAGAAGAACCTAAATTAGCTGAACATTGCTTTAAAATGAGTTTGCTGTCTTCCATACTTTATACAACCAGAGAACTTCAGGTTGCAGGGACTGACCACACCAGTGCAGGTGGCAGTGCTGCCCTTTCTTCATAAGGTTGCATCTAACAGACGAGGTGGGTTCCTCATTCTTCAGCCTGAAGCTGTATTGTTGAAAAGAAGCTATTGAGCTGGGGATTTAGCTCAGTGGCACCATGCCTGCCTTGCAAGAGCAAGGTCCTGAGTTCAATCCCCGGTACTAAAAAAAGAAAAGAGGCTATTGAGTACATTGGTTCTTTTGGCAAAAGAATTTTGAGAATTGCTTCTAAGCTAACAGAATGTGGATTTACTTTGGTCAAAATATGACTCATACTACCTGTCCCAGGACTTTAATTTTTGTGTCATTGTTCTTCACAGGGCTTTGGTAATGTGGGGCTGCACTCTATGAGATATTTACATCGTTTTGGTGCTAAATGTGTTGCTGTTGGGGAGTCTGATGGGAGCATATATAATCCAGATGGTATTGACCCAAAAGAACTGGAAGATTTCAAGTTGGTATGTTATTCAGCACTTTGACCATACAGGACCTTGTAAAGTTGCAATAAGCCTTATTTAAACCTACTTCCATTTTTTTTAATCAATTACAGCAACATGGATCAATTCTGGGCTTCCCTAAGGCAAGGGTATATGAAGGAAGCATCTTGGAGGCTGACTGCGACATCCTGATCCCTGCTGCCAGTGAGAAGCAATTGACCAAATCCAACGCACCCAGAGTCAAAGCCAAAGTAAAAGCATTAGAGGAAGCAAAACCAACAACACTGCCCTGGCATTACATTGGGACAGTCCAACAGTCTGAGTGGTTTCTTTTAACAGCTTTATTGACATACAATTCATGTTTCATAACTTTCATCCATTTAAAGTATACAACTTAATGGCTTTTTAGTATATTCAGAGTTGTGCAACTATTACCAAACTTCCAAAATGCAGTTACAGAAACAGGTAAAAGGTAGCTCTGTACACCGTGTAGAGCAAAATAACCCTTTTAGTTTCATTTTCCCCAAAATTGCACTTTCAAGACCCTAGCTTGTACTCTGTGGGGGTGCTCCTGACATTTTGAATATATCCCTGACTCTTATAGATCATCGCTGAAGGTGCCAATGGACCCACCACTCCAGAAGCTGATAAGATTTTCCTGGAGAGGAACATCATGGTTATTCCAGTAAGTCTATGTGCATCAGGCTTGATATATATTGAGTGGAATCATAATTGCCTTTTGCTAGGAACAGGGAGAAAAGAGGGCTGACAAGTTTCCCATCCAGGGTGAATTGTTCATTTTGATTTTTGCTTGTAAGAAAAGATTGGAAGCATGGCTAATATAACCCACCACTGCTTTCCACCTCCACCCTGGCAGTTACTCCAGCTTCTGTTCTTTCTCAGTATGTGGTCAGCCTCCTGAGAGGCGGACTATGTAAAATGTGAGTAGTGCTCTTCTACATAATTCTTCACTTTATACATTTCAGATATTCCTTCCTGCTTTACCTAAAAGTTGCTGGGGGGGGACAGGGGTTCCACAACAAAAGATTATTGGAAGGAGTGTGGACTTGTGGTGCCTTTTTGAAGAACCCCCTTTGCTGAGAAGTTAATGAGAAGAGACTCTCACTAAACCTGACCAAATGATCATTAATGAGCCCAAAAAATGGCTTCTCTTTTTCCTAAATAGAAAATAACCTCAGATTGAAAAGAAGGGTTTGTTAGATTAACTGAAATTCCTGGTATCCTTTAAGATATTTGGGGAATTTGAGGCTTAGTCACTGTGTAGAAGCAGTTTTTATGTTCTTATGTTCATTTTAAGCTTGACTAAAGCCCTCACCTTTTCATTTCTCTGTCTTCTGTCACATCTTGTGTATAGGATCTCTACTTGAATGCTGGAGGAGTGACAGTATCTTACTTTGAGTGGCTGAAGAATCTAAATCATGTCAGCTATGGCCGATTGACCTTCAAATATGAAAGGGATTCTAACTACCACTTGCTGAGTGAGTTCCAATAATCTTGTTCTCCAGAAATCATCTTTGGGATCAGTTAAAGGCCTGGACAAAGCAAACCTTTAAAGGGCCTTTTCCCTATGGTAGTGCTAGAGACATTCACTTCAGAGCAGAAAGCAATTCTGTCTTGATGAGACTTGGACAAAAAATAGACACTTGCTTTACAGGTATTGATTGAATAACTCCCTCAAATATATCTGCATTCAAAGTTCTCTTCTATCATGTCACATTCCCAGAACATAATCTCCAAGTTAATAAAGTTACAAAACATAAACACCCACCCATTCTGTCTCTAGCTGCTCTTAGTAGAGTCTGAGTCTCTTGATGAGAATTCTTGTTTTGGAGTAAGCCCCACAGAGGACAGAGTTTCTCATCAGGTGGAATGAATCTAAGACCTCCAACTGAGTGCCTGCATTTTGGCTGCGCTGACAGCCTGGCTTCCTGGCTGCAGCTGTTCCTGTTTCCTCTTTTCCACAGCATTTTCTTTTAGTTGAGCCAAATGGTAACCCTGGCAATGGGTGTTATGGAACCAGAGCAGTGACCTGCATTCACATTTGCATATTAAACCTGGCAGAGTCTTCCATTCTTTCTGAACTGTGTTTTTCATGGTTAATTCTTTTATGTCATTAGTTTTGAAGATTTCTAAAACTGTTAGTTTGGGGGCTATAGTTTGGGGCTCCTTCAGTTCTGCACCTTTGGTTTTCATTTTGAGGAGTTTTTTGTTTTATTTTTTTCTTCCCTACTAGCACTGTACTATCTTGACTTGACTTCTTGGCTTTTTATAGTGTCTGTTCAAGAAAGCTTAGAAAGAAAATTTGGGAAGCATGGCGGGACAATTCCTATCGTCCCAACAGCAGAGTTCCAGGACAGGATATCGGTACGTATGGTGGCACCAGGACGGTGTTTCACACGGGCTCCCTGCCCTTCCCTGTCCTCCAGACAGGCCACATTGGCTGACAGGAGTTGAAAGGTAGCAACCAGAGTGACAGCCATGTGTAACTTGTATGTTTTCTACCCTCTCTTTTCATTCCGTTCTAAGAGTGATACAAGCATCCTAATGACTGTTAATAACAAATTTAAAATAAGTAGTCCTGCCTTTCGCACTGTTTGCAATACAGGTGACTTAACACTATGACTCAGCATAAGCATGAAAGATTCATATATATGTTAGACCCTTCTTGGTTTGGTTTTTTGAGGCAGGGTCTCCCTTTGTAGTTCAAGCTGGCCTTGAACTCACTATGTAGCCCAGGCTGGCCCTGAACTTGCAGCAGTCCTCCTCCAGCTTCCTGAGTGCTGGGAGTACAGGTGTGCACCACCATGTCTGGCTCTGGATTTGGTTTTTTTGAGACAGGTTCTCACTATGTATTCCAGGTCGGCCTCAAAGTTTCTCCTGCCTCCCAAGTGCTGGGATCACAGGCGTGTGCTGTCATACCCTGCTTTATTTTATATCAAGCTTCAGAGAAGTATAACTGAAGAGTGAATACTAGAATGAGCTACATGAAAATATGAAATTGCTATATGGATACAAGAGAATTAAAACAGATTAAAAGTGTTTTACATTAATCAGTTGTTGGCAGGATATATTAATAGTGTATATGCTTTGCAAGGAGAACTTGTTTACCAGTGTGTGACAGAAGATGTAAATAAGAAAAATCACCTGTGTGTGCCTGGAAAACACTGAGCCTGGGTGTTAACAAAAACAGATTTGTTCTGCAGTGCAGGGGATCCACCCAGTACCTTGAACTTCATGTGCTCTTGGCAAGTGCTCTGCCACCGAACTGGGCCCCAGCCCCAGCCCCCTTGCTCACCATGCCTGAGGTGCATGAGCCTTTCTTCTGAGAACAGCACAGATTGGTACAGCTCTATGGAAGAGCTGTCAGTGTCCCTGCCTTTGGTCTATCATAACCTCTCCATGGGTATTTGCCATGAAAAATAATTCAGAAGAATAATGACTCCATGCTGATGTCTTGAAGCTATTCACAGCCAGTTTTTAGGTTTCATTTAACTGTAGGATTACAAAGGAATGGCTAAGTTATAACATCTCCTTACCAGACAGCTTTGGTAAGAAGCTGCTTTACACTGCAGTATTGTCCCCACAGTGCCCTTCCGCTGCCCTTGATGGCACCAATTTCATCCTGATCCCTATGTGGGGTGTCTGATATTGTCACACACATTACCACCGTGGCTTTCTGTGGCAGTCCCCTCTGCAGCCAGGGTTTAGGGCACATTCGAATCACAGGTGACTCGGCACACACACTCAGCAGATGCCTGGCACATGCTGTTACTCAGACTGCTCCTTGAGAGAGAAGGAACACAGAAAGGACCACCAGCTCATTAGGACTCAGAGCTACCAGTGACCCTTCATCTGTTTTGTTTTGGTTTTTTGAGACAGATCTCAGGCTGGCCTTGAATTCACAGTGTAGCCCCAGCTGGCCTCAAAGTCCTGACAACCTTCCTGCCTCGGCTTCCCCACTGCTGGCTTACAGGTGTGCATCACCACACCCGGCTCTTCATCCTTTTAACAGTGTCTGTGCTCATTGTATTGTTCTCCCAGTTTCAAATGGTTTCGCTTGGCTTCTAATTTTAATTTGAGCTCTCCCTCTAGCTCCTGCCCAGCTTTGCTCTGACCCACCCCATGGGACCTTCCTCACTGACCCTGCCATCTCACTGCTCAGTGTCCTCACACTTCACCCCACGTCTACCCAGAGGCCCACACTCACTGTTGTACTCACTCCCTGGTCTGGTTTTGCTTCCTCTTCTGCCTTGCATTAATAACTGAACAACCCCAGGGAAAGCCCAGCTCTGCCACCTCCAAGCCGTGCAGCTGTGACCCTGCCAGCCATTCACATGGTTGGCCTTGGGGCTGCTCAGCTTCTGCTCTTCCCTGTCCCCTGTTCCCTCACCCATCCCATGGGCCAGTCCTCTGGCACTGGAAGAGCAGCACTCGAGAACCTGCACACCTGTCCTCTGCTGGCCTCCCTCACTTAGCCACCTCTTTTCACACAGCAGAGCGGCCTTTGGCTTCCACCTTTTGCAGTGCTTGTGCCAGATACTGCATGGCCCATCCCCAGTTCATTGGGAAAACTACACCAGCAACTGCTGCTCCCTCTCAGTATCTCCCTCTACTGAGTCATTCATCTCCATGTACTCCATGCTCAATTTAAAAACACATCTTCAGCCCATTCTCCTTCCAGTTATTGCCATTCTTACTTGCTTTTTACTGCCCTCCCAGAAGAGTTGTGTACACTGGGTATGGTGGCACACTACTATGTCCAGCTACTTGCAAAGTTGAGGCCAGCTGAGGCAACTTGGCGAGACCCTGTCTCAAAATAAAATTTTAGAAGATCTGGGGATTCCCTCAGTGGTAGAACGTTTGCCTAATATGCACGAGGCCCTCAATTCAATCAGCCGACCCGCCAGAAATACAAGAAAGACCTCTGCTGTTGTCAAGGGGACCAGTGACATTGAGGGGCCTGGTCCTCATCCTCGCCTTGACTTACCATCCGTTTACCTCACATGCACCAATCCCAGTGGGAACACGTTCTTGTCATTTCCTAGACTCCACATTCTGCCTTTCTCCCTGCCTCGCTGACCTCTCCATCATCTCATCCTCTTTACACTGATCCTTCACCTTCGCTGCCCAGATTCACAGCAGCAGTGTCTCCTTAGCCTCATGGTTTAAGTCCATGCATGCGCATTCTCCCTTGACCAGAATATAGACTCAGAGCAGAGTTTGCCTTGCTTTCTTCTCTGCTGGTCCTCAGTACCTGGAAAGGTGTCTGGCACATAGGAGGTATCAGTAAATGTCAAGTAAATGAGTGAATGAAGCACCGGTATTCTGCCTGCAGAACAAGCTTGTTTCCTCTTGACTTGATAGAAAAAAATTTTAACCCAGTAACACAAATATTGTAGAAATAGACTTTCTAAACTGAATATTCTATAGTTCTGTACACGAATTGGATGCTGTTCAGCACTTTTATTGGTGATGTTTAAGTGGCACAGCAGGGTGTTTTATAGCTGCATGCCACACATTAGGAGTGGTAGTTATTTGTCTTTAAATTTTTTTTAAAGCTTTCCAAGAAGCGCTGCATTAGAGGAGTCTATTCAAACAATTGCCTTTTAGGGATAATTGGTGTAGGAAAGAGAGAAGCTGGAAAAGAGATAGTGAGAGGTAATGGGTTACCTCGTGATAACGTTGCAGAGCTGCAAAGTTCCATCCAGCCTTAATGCTGGTGCTGCTGCTATAAGTAGCACTGGTAAGAGTCTACTCCAGAGCCACTGTCAGCTTGAACCCAGTGGATATGCCATGACATCAACAGCGATACTGATTTTGAGCATCTGAGTGTAGGGAGCTGACGTCACTGCTTGCTCTTGGGTTTCTTGGTCCATCCTTTCTGCATTCGTTGTTTTACCATGATCTTGTTGCTACCAGATATAACTAAAACTGAACTGTGGTTAAAGTACAGGTTCCTACTTAGAGGAAACAGGGACAGTTAATTAGAAATGGGGTGGGGATCAGCAGAAGGAGAGAGGGAAAGGTCAGATGATCAAGATATAAGACATACACATGGGGCCGGGGATTTAGCTCAGTGGTTTCGCCACCTGCTGCGCAAGTGCATGGACCAGAGTTCGATCCCTGGTACCAAAAAAAAAACAAAATACACATATCAATTTACCAGCATGAATAATTACTATGTATCACAAACATTCTCCTCAAAATACAGCTGCTTTGCTCCCCTTGATACCGTACTGAAACCTGAGCTCCTGTCTGGCTCTACCCTGATTTAAAGGCATGTTTACGTTCTCTGATAAACGTGCCCCCTTTTTCCCAACAGGGGGCATCAGAGAAAGACATCGTCCACTCCGGCTTAGCCTACACGATGGAGCGTTCTGCCAGGGTATGTCACAAGTGCCATCTGCCTTCCTACTATTGGCACAAAGCACCACTCCACTCCCCAGTGCTCACGGGCGGGTTGTGGGGAAGGATAGAAAACAGCAACTGTTCACCTGGCCCTGCCTATGTGCAGTGAGACACGCTCGCCAGCCTCAGCTGATGAGTAGAGTTGTTGGTCTCTCGAGCAGGCTCAGGCCGAGGCCTAGGCATGATGCTGCGTGGGGAGGAGAGTTGGCCCTGCATCAAGCCTGCCCGAACCACAGCCCCAGGCAGCCCACGCTCTGGCGTTTGTAAGGGGCATCTTTGCGCACCTGACCTTTATCTCACACTTCTCATTTCTTCTGGAGCTCAAATTCTGCCCACTGGGTTTCCAAGTGGAAGTAGCATGAACACATACTGATGAAAAGTGGTGCTCCTGAGGATTGGTGTTACTAATTTTTTGAGATAAAATACCATACATTGATCCTTTAAAGTATGTAACTCAGCAGCTTTACTGTATGCACAAGGCT